ATATTCTCACTAATAGCGTAGCTCCATTTCTGTGTATGCAAATAATAGTTTTTTTAAATTAAAAATTACGACCCTTGTTGTATTTGTAATCATGATTTAACGAATTTTCCCTCTTAGAATTAGCGCCAACGCGCTCTACGATTGTTATTCGGGGATTGTCAATTCATTTATTTTCATTCATTGATGAAGTCGGCTTTTCTTCTCACTAAAGGGCTATCGTGTTTATATGATAAACAAAATAATACGTGGTTGCTTTTAGATATGGAATTTCTCTTCTCGTATTCAACTTGACATCTCACTCGTTCGCTGCACTCACTCGTGAGCTATCGAGTTAAACACTCGAAGAGAAATTCCATATCTACGCGCGCCTATCTATTATTCTCTATTTCCCTATCTCTTCATCCATTCAGAAATTGTCTGCTTTAAGTTCCATTTGAATTGCGGTATGCTTGGGCCCAAAAAAAAAACTGATTTAGAGGAATTGTTAAATGCATCCTTAAAGTTACTTACAGTCATTTTGCTACACTCCAGTTTTATCACCGCTTAAATTAGCAATTAACTACACACGCATCAAAGTCATAATTTGGCCGGTGACATCAAAAAAGACAGTCTACAGCTACAATTAAGGATTATGGTGCCGAAATTCAAATTTGGTTGGGAAATAATTTGTTAGAATTTCATTCACATAGAAGTTAGAAGTAAAGATAACATTACTTAGATAGTTTTTTCGAGCGGAAGGACATCAATGAAATTTGAATTCCTTGTGATGAAAATTCAGGTGTACTCGATTGATGGGGATCAAGGCAGTCAGTAAAGAAATTGTTGAAACAAATGAAGACATATTAATCTTTTCTTTCTTTTTTAGCTGCTGTATTTTTAACTTCAAGATTGACTTTTAACTTCATTGAAGCCAGGAACATCCATATCATTACATCAGTTCTATAGATGATGCACTATTTAGACAAGAAAACATTTCCATAATTCTGTCTCCTTTTATTCCAGTAACATGAAGTAAATCGACCATTCCTATTGAAAATTTTCTGATATTGAAAGTATGTTTAATTTCATCTTTGTTATCCGGATTCAAATTGATCCATGGGCAAACAATTCAATTCGTTGAGTTAAGTATACAAAACAGTCTGAACCTTTTCTGTGCGTTTTACTTGTAACTGTCCCCAGTATTTTTCAACACAACAAAATCTAAGCTTCATTGGTTTTATTGGCCCACTTTTGTGTACATCCGTGATTGTTATGGTAAAAAGTTTTCCTAATACTTTCTTGTAGGGAGACTCAAGGTTTCTTCTTCGTTCTACGCACGTGAGAAGACAAAAAACATTTTTTCTCTGGTTTAGTAACGTGCCCAAAATTTACCATCTTAATTATTTAATTTTCCATATCTAAAATGCCAATTTTTTGAAAGGTTTATCGGTATGGAAAAAATCGAAAGCTAGATTGCATATTGCGTATCCACTCTTTTGCAAATTATCCTTAAGTTAGTAACAACGAGAAATATTTCGTCCTTACAGCAGCCTCCAAATCAAGATCAGTTAAACCTTAGTTTTTGGATAGCAACAACAGAGATTGAGAATTCATCAGTAGCATCTGACTATGTAAAATGCCCGAATGCTGTGAGGTTTGTCACACGAAAGTAAAAAAGGCCGGTTTTTTAGCTGGAATTTGAACTGGCAATAAGGGGGGTAGCAAAACTGCATTTGTGATAGGTTAATTTCGTAATAAAACAGAAAAAAATAACTCCTCACTTAAACAAACCTTCATTGATAGAACACCGACAGTCGACCGACACTTTGACGAATGCATCGGCCGACGTGTTGTTTGGATCAGTTTCGCTGCCTAGCGTGAATTATTAATTCACGTGATCTTGGGACGACATGAATTGTTATTAGGTTAGGCAAACTGGCAGAAAAAGTCCAATTTTAAAATTAATGTAGATTACAGATGGAAAGTTATTCTAAAAATATTTGAATGTTTGTTCTCTACGTGTCATACCTGTCAAAGGGTGGAAATGTTTCTCAAAAGATCCAAAATAACTCAAATATTACTCCCACGGGAGACATTTTGTGTGCAAATTATTTCTTGTTTTAAAGCGGAAGTTTGCTACTGAACAATGCTGTTTGTCTTAGTTACCAGTTTATCAAGTTCCTAAACGAAATTTTGGATATAGCAGCATATAACGGGGACACATTTATACTCCATGTGACCATCGTTTCTAAAGAAATGGCAATAAAACTTCAGTTTTTGGCAAAGGAAAGCCTTCGCTGAAAGCTATTGACAGACGATGAAGTACTTATGCCAATGCTGTGATCACGGGACTTGTCAGAATCATGATCACATATCTACGGCGAACTAAAAAACGAAAAGGTTGCTGCACAGATGTAACTTGTCAAGAAGCAGTTTGAATACTTCCTTTGGATGAATCTATGGTCACCAATAACGTGTTATTTTAGCCAAGATTTTGGTTCTTTTTTGTTTTTTTTTTTTTTAATAAGGTTTTGCTACCGCATAAAAATATTCATTCATTTTAAAGGTGCAAAGCATAAAGCCAAAGAAACTTTTTTACATTGTCTTCTTAATAAAGCTGAAGTAAGTTGAGTTAAATTTTTCGTTGAGCCATTATTTGATTGCAAAACATTACCGTGGTAACAATTAAAGTTGCTATTTATAAATACGACAAGGGTTTGCATTCATTTTGTCTCATCTGTTGTAGTCACTTGAAGTCTGCATCACAGCTTTTATTGATAGCTTATCTGCATCACAGCCTCTTCGGGGCGTTCAGCTTGTAAAACGAAGTGTAAAGTAAGTTAACGGCGCGATAGTCACGGCGGAGCGAAAAAAGAGTGAGGCTTGGGTCGGGACGGGTAAAGAACGGCTTTCACCCGACCCGACCCGACCCGACCCGACCCGACCCGACCCGACCCGACCCGACCCGACCCGACCCGACCCGACCCGACCCGACCCGACCCGACCCGACCCGTTTTTCCACTCCGCCGCTACTATCTTGCCGTGTACCATTTCGTTCCGTTTTACTAAATGAACACCTGGAAAAGGCTAGTGATGACAACACCAGCTTACTTTGAGCTTTGCTTACATAGACATGCTTAACAGCCTGGGTCATTCTACATCATTTCATTATATTCTATTTTAAGATCGGTTTCAGCCTGGCATGCCTGGCTTAGCTCATGACTCAGCAAGACAAAGTAAATAAAGAAACATTGTAATATTTTCTGGATTATTTTAAAACATAAATCTACGATATCTGGAGATCGTAGTTGGAAATCAGTCAATTGATAAATAATTTTGAACTTTTAAACATCACCCACCAAATTTACTTGATTCTCATTTTATCGATGAGATATATATTTATTTGTGGCAACTTCCTCAAATCATTTACTCATCAAAAATTCGCATACAACCTGACATTCATTCCGTGATATTCGTAACGGTCCCGAGGACGAAAGGGAAGCGTTAAAGGCCCTCATATAAAAGAGGTTAGTAGTTTTTAAAACAGTCTTATTCCTTCAGTTATAATTAATGTCTTTGTTTTTTCAGAATTTTAACGACAAATGATTTTTTTGACCTTCAGATGAAATTCAGACGCGGGAATGATCCTTGCAGTGGTGAGCTGTCATACAAACCTTTTTAATTAGGAGCAGGGGTAGGTATTCAAGAGGGAGTGTAAACAGCTTTTGTACTCGATTGTCATTAAAATGAGAAAATGTTTTCTCATAAGACCAGCTGTGTGTACACGGCCTGTGATAGAGACATAAATTCTTCTTGAATATTCGAATTTGGTTATAAAGGTGCTTTTGAAATTTTTTGATAAAATTAATCTATGGATAACTTCTGGGGACTACAAATTTGCACACGATTGACAGTCTTAATTGATGCTGGTTCGATAATCGGTTTAAACTTTAAGATATTTTCTGTATCGCGCCATATTCGTTGCATTTGTTTTGTTCGACTGTTGTCAAATATGATCTTGTAAATTAGCCAAACCTCAATTTGTGAATAATAATTGCATAAAGAGTTCATCAGTAGCATTTGATTATGCAAAATGCACTAAGAAGCTGTCTGGTGTGTTATACGAAAAAGAAAAAAAGGGGGCAAGTTTTTCTGCAAATTTGAATTAGCAGCACACTGCAAGCAAATATACATTAGTGGAAGCATTATTTCACAATATGACTACAAAAAACCCTGTTTACCCATATAAACTTTCATTGATAAGGTGGTTTATCGACTTTTGATATAATTTATGCAACCTTAAGACGCCGTGAATTATCTTAGTTGAATGTAAAACCCTCTTTGAAGACGCTAATTGGTATTGGGAAAAATAGAAAACTGGACTAAATAAAACTATTCAAAATTTCATTTGCTTCAAACATCATTACAATTACGAATTATCCTTCACTTGGGACAATCCTTTTTTCTGCAAATCATCTTGGTCTCAAACAATAACTCCATGTGAAATGGAGATGATAAACTTGTTTTCTAAGCATTACCTTCTGTGTATTTGAGCAGATGTTTACAAAGTCCGCATCTTTAATTTACAATGCTTCGTTGTAAACCTAATGGCTAATTCCCAACCATGACAAAATCAAGCGGCTGCCTCTGTTAACAGTGCGTTATCAAGAAACCAAATTTGTGACCTAAGGTGATATATATCTCATCAACATTTGATCGCAAAGAAAAATCCTGAGCGCGTTCTGATTCCAAAATAACTGATAGCCTTCACTACTTCATTAGAAATGCGCAAATTGGCGACATATCATTGTTTTGTTTCGTTATTAAACCACAATTTTTCGCCTGTTAGTTGTTCGTTAGATAATTCAAGTACAACATACTATTTAGAAATAGCTCCTTATATTTTTCCTTACTCTTCTTATCATGAAATGGCATTTCTTCCCCTCTCTCATAACAATTATAATTTTTCCAAATAAGCTATAGAAGTAACAGTACAAGCTAACGTTAAAATAGGTGTGCTCCTATTCATAGCAGAATGCCTGTCTGATTGTCTGCTTTACAGCTCCCCTCACCTCACTTATCTTCCAGCAGTAAAGGAACGGGTTTAAAGTAGAGTTAAATAACACTAAGACAACTGCCATTTCATGGATTATGACGAAATTTCGAAATCGCTCTTTAGTAAGAGTAATTACAGTTCTCGATATAAAAAATGGTACATAACAAACAATTAAAGCTAACTGCACCCACAGTGCGCTGTGCACTGCCTTTCTGTATCGCGCAATGTTCAGTGCATTTCGTTGGCTCGGCTGTTGTTGAACGTGATCTTGCACTTGAGCCTGATGATGACTGAGAGCGCAAAAAATCTTAATGTACGAGGCGATGGAGATAATTAGGCAACATAATACACCTATTAGGCTGTACCAAGCGGTTATACGGTCATCGAGATGACAGAATAATCCAGCAACTAGAGATACAACCCAAATGATAGCTAAAATGACATACGTGCGCCTCAAAGTAACAATCTCTTTGTACCTCAGTCCCAACAACATAGCGAGAAGGCGGTCCACGCTGATGGCCGTCACTGTCGACAATGACACAGAACATAATGCATAGCCTGTTACAACACATCCATCAAAAGAATATCGACAAAGACTCCAGTGCTCTTGAGCCAAGGACATCCAATAGGTAGCGTACAGAGGCTGGGTAATAAGACCAACCAACAGATCAGTTGTTGCCAGACAACGATACAAGAGTTTGGATGGCGGATGGAGGGAAGATTCCTTATGAAGGGCAACAAGGATAAGAGAATTCCCAATAATTGCTGTGATGGAGAAGAGAATGTTGACTGCTGAGAATGAAATGGACTGCTGTTCGAACTCATATACCCAAACTGGGGAGCATGGCGATTCGTCAAATAGTTTCGTCTGTGTTCCACTTCCCGTTACACTTGCTGTCGCCAGCATCCTACTATCGTTTCCGCTCTTTTGCAGGTTATCTTTAGTTACAACGAGGAATATTTCGTCTTAACAGCACCCGCCAAGTAAAGATCAGTTAAACCTTAGTTTTTGAGTAGCAATTTACAACACGTAAAAATTTATCAGTAACGTCCGACTATGTAAAATGCCCGAAAACTGTGAGGTTCGTCACACGAAAGAGAAAAAAAGACCGGTTTTCCTGCGTGAATTTTAATTAGTAATAAGGGGAAATTAAAGCTGCATTTGTGATAGGTTAATATCCCAATACAACATGACAAAAAAAAAAAAAAAGAAAAAAAAAAACTCAAATAAACCTTCAGTAATAGGATATTGAAAGTCGACCAACAGTCGGTCGACAGTTGACTTATTTTGAATTATTAATTCACGTGATCTTGGGACGCCATGAATTGTTATCGGCATAGGCAAACTGAGGTTGCTTTTTTACCAGGTCGATTAACTAGCTAAACATTCTTCGTGTTCGTTTACAAACCAACATTTGCTAGTTAAACGTGACATCTGTTTTCATTGGGATATTTGACCCAGAATTTAACCCGCTGACTCTGACGATTCAAATTACAAAGGTGCGCACATTGCAAAAATGGCGGGAGACGAAGCGTTCTTGATGACCTATCTTGTGCTAATTTTCGCCATATTGATGTGAGTGAGAAGGCGATTCGTGCAGAGGATGCATTTGATTCCTCTTCAAACAAGGAGAATTCGACGAAATAGGGCAATCCTGTCGATTTAAAATGAAAACAATACCCATCTGTTTCTAGCCTACGCGTAGCCGTACCCTCCCCTCCAAGGTAAAACGGAAGCGAGGGAACGTTTACGCAGACCTGACACTAATCGTGTTCCGTGACGCCACTCTAATTTATGCAAAATAATGTCATTTGATAATATTTTTTTGTGAAATAGCACGTGTTAGCGTGAAGATTATCGAGATAAACAACAACATTGAAGTGAATTCATTCGCCATTTTTCGAGTAAATTTGCGTTTCAGCGTCCGATTTCAAATATATATTTTGCTTTAGGGACGTAGGGGTTAACCAATAAAAAAAATCATAACACATTTTCTTGCAAGAGAGTGACGTCACGGAACACGAATAGTGCCAGGTTTGCGTAGATGTTACCTCGCCTCTGTTTCACCTTGGCGGGGGGAAGGGTACGGGTACACGTAGGCTAATCTGGTTCTGGTTCTGTACACCAGCGCCATGGAATAAGTATGGTCCTGGCCGAGGAATTGGCGAATCCAACTGAGGCGGAGGGATGGTAAATCGGTAAAAACGGGAAGCATTATTGAAGTCGTCAGACATTTTCCGAATTTTAATAAACCACGAGGCAAACTAACCCAAGATACGAGCGTCTGGTAAGTAACAATTCCAGAGTATTTAGCACGCGTCTGTCACTACGCACGATGCGATTTGCAGCATTTACGAGGACAAGTTATACCATCTCGCGAGGTAATATAACTTGGCGTGAACTTCTGGTCATATAGGCTAGATAATCCCATGTTATTACTAGTGAAAATACCGTGCATTCTCAACTCGCTAAACTCAATACGAACTGTTTTCACTGAATTTCCGGACTTCTCCGACTTTATTTAGCCAAAATTGTCCTAGTGAAAATACAACCTGAAAAAAAAGTCCAATTTCAAAATAAATGCAGGTTACAGATGCAAAGTTATTCTAAAGACACGTGGATTTTTGTTCTCTACGTGTCGCACCTGTGTTGACTTAGGAACGAAACGGCGACAGGTGTAAGAAGTTACGTTGTTAGCCCATCTTTATCTAAACTGTTTCATTCACCATTTACTAAGTTCTTTTAATGGCCACAAATTTAGCCAGATTATTTATTGTGGTCATGAGAAAATTAAAGGTCAAGAAGCTTGAGGTCCCAATTTTTCCAATATCTAATTAATGGTGAGGTAAGCTTCCTGTTTCTTGGAAGGAAGACGACTAGGTGACTGATTCCGATAACACCTTTGCGACGTACATAGAAATGGCAAGGACGTCTTTTCCTACATCTAGGCAGTTTGGAAAGCAGCTAAACTGTAAAACGAAAATTTATCTTTCAAATCAGCACTCTTAATCCCCGCGATATCAACGAGCGCTTTTCATTTAACTAATTTATTCTTGTTTACTCGTCACTATATTCCCACCAATAGCGTAGCTCCATTTCTGTATATGAACCCACACACAACCCACAATTGCTCCAATCGCTGCGGCGTAGTGCTAACGTTCAAAATGCTAGTTTTTAAATTCTTTGTGGTACCCAGTTCACGTTAGTGAGGTAAGCTTCTTGTTTCTTATTCTTGTTTCAAGCGAGCTGTCATGTATATGCCAGGTGATTGGATTCTCTTTGTTGCTGTTTTTCTGTGCGATTATCAGTTCGCCTTTGGTAATTAAAATTATAAGCGAATACTAAGGCGAATTAAGTGGTCTGTTTATCACAGTTGAAAATAATTGACTGATTATTAAATCTTTCAGTTCTTATTGATGTACAGAGTCCTGCGTAGCACGCGGTCACTGAGTGGAGGCATTCAAATCGGGTCAGACAACGTACACAGCACATCTACAGAATCAATCTCACAAGACTTTAAAGAAAAGAAAGTTTATAACTTGAAAAAGTGAATGTGCTATAAAAGACGAAATGGAAACAAATGATACAACAAGCACAAGGCAACTAAGAGGGAGAAAATGGAGGAACTAATGGGATACAAGTCAACTTTTATCTTCCCATTTTCAAGACTTTGATAAAGTGAGTTACCCATTTTTCATTTGCTCGGCTATTTCAAAGAGGAGACTACTGGTTACGAAATGATTTGCCTTGTGCTTGTTGGTCTGTGTGTAAATAAAGAATGTAATGAAATTGTGCGCTAGTTTACATTTGCTGTAAATGATAAGAAATCGAATTTCTTATTTAAACAAACATTTTCCAGCCAATAATGAATGACATAATGCCTTGTTTCCTGATCTTCCAACCCCATCAATATGAATTGAATACCCTGTTTTTCAATGCTTACTCACGGTTGTGTTGCAGATTTCTAAACCAAATCGCCTCATTTTCAGTTTAATTTCCCAAGCAGGAGTTTATAAACGTGTACGGTTCAAATGCGTATTGTGTTACTTGTTGATCAATTCGAGCTTCAAAATCCCCCTCGGACACCCCCCCTCCCCTCCCACATTGACCAGGCGTTCAAACCAAGACCTTGAAGACCTTTTTTCTAATCCATTCCCTCGCGAAAGTGAACTATTTGCCTTTAAACAACTCCATATTTAAAGACTTAACACTTGTATTTTGCTGGAGAGACTTCCGAAAATTCCGGTTCCATTTCAAATTTCCTATCCCAGCCAAGCAAGGACGACGATCTAACGTCCGTGGGTTGCTTGGGAGGTGGGAAGGGGGGAATGCTGTAAGCGTAACATCTTTAATCATAGTATACATTTCTTATGTGCGAGTCGCTCCACTTTCTAGCTTTTTGAGCTGCCGCTGGTTTCCAAAAAGAAAAAAAAATAAAGAAAAAACATCAATTGGTAGAAAGCTCCTACAATAAAACTGAGAAAATTCCTGGTGCCTGTTTACATCGAGCCTGATCACGTGTGACCACGATCACGATCACGGAATCGATCGGTCTTTTGGAACAATTCCTTTTATGAACAATTGACTGATGTTCATGATTACAATTATACCAAAGACGGCCCCAAACGCGGAAAGTAGAGCAACTCACAAATAAGAAATGTGTGTTGATATAGCCAATCAGCTTCTGACACGTCACTCGCTTTTAACACCACTCGGTTAGGTTGATGAATGAACGGCAAAGCCTTCACGATTCTCAATACAAGTTGTTTGTCGGAGCTTTCTTGAATTATGGCGGTTAAAACACTAAAAAATCCGTATCGTTTACAGACAGTGAGGTTCAAACCTTAGGCCGGTGACATCAAAAAAGACAGTCTACAGCTACAATTAAGGATTATGGTGCCGAAATTCAAATTTGGTTGGGAAATAATTTGTTAGAATTTCATTCACATAGAAGTTAGAAGTAAAGATAACATTACTTTGACAGTTTTTTGGAGAGGAAGGACATCAAAGAAATTTGAATTCCATGTGATGAAAATTCAGGTTTACTCTATTGATGGGGATCAAGGCAGTCAGTAAAGAAATTGTTGAAACAAATGAAGAAATAAGAATCTTTGTTTTCTTTTTTAGCTGCTGTATTTTTAAATTATTAAGAATAAACCTGAGAAAACAAGTGTAGAGTTTGACTAAGTACTTACGAGTTCTGTGAGGCTTCCAGGTCAGAAAAAAAACAACGATGGAAAGCCACTGGGGGATTTCGAGTCTTCAACGGCAACAGCCGAAAAAAAAACTTGACTGGGTGCCTCTAAACAGGTTCTTTGATGGGGCAAGATAAAACCCTACACATCGAAATTTCGGGGACTGTGGGATCTAAAAGTCTTCGCTTTTGGCTGGGAGAAGATTCATTCGTCTCGGCCACCCAACTTTGAGATAAGTTTCCTAGGAGCATTTTTTGATCTCGTCCGCTTGCGGGAGAGCTTTGTGGCAAGAGTGAAAGTTTTGTGTCGCTTTCTAGTCCTTCAAATTCTTAATCCGTTCCTTTAGCAACTCACCTTTTCCAAAGTTCTCGTCGATCGAGAACCAGTTTGTTTGTTTGTGTTTTTGACCGCTTCGTTTTCTCTAGACTGGCCGGATTTACTGCTTGAAGATTCAATCGCCTGACCAGAGAAGAATGTCGAAATTGATGCCATGTTAAAAAATACATTAACTTCGTTATCATCATCAAAACTGCTGCTTCCTGCTAACAACTTCACTTTAACTGTGGCTCAAACCTCACCTTTTCATAATGCATAGATAATCAAGCGTTTGAACGATATATTTACATTATTTGGAATGCGCTAACGATCTCAAGTGTCTTTTGTGTTTGAAAACTTAATATTGACATTTCCCCAGAGGTTGGCATGTGTAGCATTAAATAACTAATTCCCTGTAAGGGAATCAGTTTTTCAGCAAGAAAAGATTCTACGACAATTTATCTTGCCGTTTTATCCTGAAAGGTCTCCAGATAGTTAAAAGGGTGGAAATATGCTCCAAAGATCATAAATAATTCAAATATTCCTCCCATGGGAAAAAATTTGTATGCAAATGATCTCTGGTTTGAAGGCGGAAGTTTGCTACTTAACAATGGTGTTTGTCTTAGTTACATGTTTATCAAATTGGTAAACGACATTTTGGACCGGAATGGTGAAAACATCAGTGTTTGACTATGGAAAACCTTCACCGAAAGCTATTGATAGCTAGCGAAGTGCTTATACCAGTGCTGTGATCTTGGAACCTGTCAGAATTATGATCACATACGTACGGCAAACGGAAATACAAAAGGTTGCAGTGCAGATGTCAATCCGTTAGTTTGAAGACTTCCTTTGGACGAATCTATGGTCAAAAATACCATGTTATTTACGCCGAAAAAAAAAATTACCACACCAACGTTTTTTTTACAAAATGGTTTTGTTATCGATTAGAAATATTGAATCATTTCATAGGTGCAAAGCACAAGGCTAAAAAAACCTTTATTATATATATTTTATGCTTTGTAAACCATTAAGTTAGGTAAGTCAAATTTTTTTTTGTTGAGTCATCATTTGATTGCAAAACATTACCGTCGAATTAATTAAAGTTGTTATGTATACAGCAGGTATTACAATCATTTTCGCTATAAGTGGCTCCACTACTGACTAGAAGAAAGTATCTGTAGTAGTCTCTTCTTTTCTGCATCACAGATTTTTTCTTTTCCTTTTTCTTTTTCTCTTTTCGACAGCTTATCGAGTGACAACGCAGCCTGTTTAAGGCGTTCAGCTAGTAAAACGAAGTCCACAGTAAACGGAATTTTTTATTTCGTAATAAACACTTTGGCTAATTCCCCATCATAACAAAATCGAGAGGCTGGCTTCGTGAAAAGCACGTTATCACTAAACCGTATTTCTGAGCTCAGTCGACATATCTCATCAAGTTTTGATCAAAAGAAAAATCCTCAATTCATTTTGATTCCAAATAATAGCCTTCATTACTTAATTACTAATGCGCAAATTGGAGAAATGTTATTGTTTTTTTATGGCTACTAAACTATAATTTTTCACCTGTTAGTTGTTCGTTAAATAATTCGATTACGATGTACTATTGAGAAGGAGCTCTTCATATTTTTCCTTGCTCTTTTCATCATGAGATGGCATATCTTCCCTTTTCTCCTAACATCTATACTTTTTTCAAATAAGTTATAGAAGAAACAGTCCATACCAACGTTAAAATAGGTCTACCCCTCTGCATAGCAGATTGCTTGTCTGATTGTCTGCTTTACTGCTCGTCTCACTTCACTTATCTTCCAGCAGTAAAGGAACGGGTTTAAAGTAGAGTTGAAGAACACTAAGACATTTGCCATTCCCAGGAATATGAAGAAATTCGAAATTCCACTCTTTGTACTAAGAAAGATCACAATTTTCACTGTAAATTGTGGTACATAACAGACAACTAAAGCTAACTGCACCCACAGCGCATTGTAGACTGCCTTTTTGTATCGCGCCATGTTCAGTGCATTCGGTTGGCTCGGCTGTTGCTGAGCATAATCTCGTATTTGAGCCTGATGATGACTGAGAGCGCAGAAAATCTTTGTGTACGAGGCGACTGAGATTATCAAACAGGATGGTGTAATTAAAAAGCTGCACCAAAGGCCTATACGGTAATTGAGATGAGAGAATAAACCAGCGACTATACATACAACCCAAAAGATGGCTAAAATAATATACGTACGCCTCAAAGTTACAACCTCTTTGTATCTCAGTCCCAACAACATGGCGAGAAGTCGGTCCACGCTTATGGCTGTTAAAGTCAACAAAGACACTGAACATAATGCATAGCTTGAAACGTAGACTGCGTCCCTTGCGTAGTGACAAAGACTCCAGTGTTCGTGAACCAAAGACATCCAGTAGGTAGTATAGAGAGGCTGGGTAACAAGACCAACCAATAGATCAGTCGTTGCCAGACAACGATACAAGAGTTTGGATGGCGAATGGAGGGAAGATTCCTTGTGAAGGGCAACAAGAATAAGAGAATTCCCAAGAATTGCTGTGGTGAAGAGGAGAATGTTTATTGCTGAGAATGAAATGGACTGTTGTTTAAACTCACCTACCCAAACCGAGGAGCATAGCGATTCTTCAAATGTTTGCGCGTTTGTTCCACTTCCCGTTATATTTGTTGTCGCCATCATTCTACAGTTGTCGTTTCCACTCTTTTGCGCGTTTTCCTTAGTTACAACGAGGAATATTTCGCCTTAACAGCATACTCCAAGTCAAGATCAGTTAAACTTTCATTTCTGAATAGCAATTACAGAGGATAAAAAAAAAACATCAGTTTAGCTCCTGCGCTTGTAAAATTCCCGAAAGCTGTGATGTTTGTCACACGAAAGAGAAAAAAAGGACTATGTTTGCTGCATGAATTTGAATTAGTAATATGGAGAAAGTAAATTGCATTTGTCCCGACACAGCAGAAAAAAACTTCTTCTATCAAATAAACTTTCAGGATATCGAAAGTCGACCGACAGTCGCTCGATAACGTGTTGTTTGGATCGGATTCGTCGCCTTACCAGGACAATTGCGTGAATTATTCATTCACGTGAATCTTGAGACGCCATGAATTGTTCTCAGACAAACACTTATAACTGTGCCATTGGAACCAGGAACATTCATGTCATTACATCAGTTCTATAGATGATGCACTATTTAGACGAGAAAAAATTTCCATAATTTTGTCTCTTTTTATTCCAGTAACATGAAGTAAATCGATCGTTCCTATTGAAACTTTCCTGATATTGGAAGTATGTTTAATTTCATCTTTGTTATCCGGACTCAAATTGATCCATGGGCAAACAATTCAATTGCAAAGAAAACGCATTATAAAGTTATTTAAGGCGTCAAGTAAAGTATACAAAACAGTCTGAACCTTTTACCGTGCGTTTTACTTGTAACTGTCTCCAGTATTTTTCAACACAACAAAATCGAAGCTTCACTGGTTTTTATTGACCCACTTTTGCGTACATCCGTGAATGTTATGGTAAAACGTTTTCCTAATACTTTCCTGTGGGGAGACTCAAGGTTTCTTCTTTGTTCTACGCCCGTGACAAGACAAAAAACATTTTTTCTCTGGTTTAGTAACGTGCCAAAAATTTACCATCTTAATTATTTAATTTTCCATATCTAAAATGCTAATTTTTTGAAAGATTTATCGGTATGGAAAAAAAATCGAAAGCTAGATTGCATATTGCGTATCCACTCTTTTGCAAATTATCCTTAAGTTAGTAACAGCGAGAAATTTTTCGTCTTTACAGCAGCCTCCAAGTCAAGATCAGTTAAACCTTAGTTTTTGGATAGCAACAACAGAGATTGAGAATTCATCAGTAACATCTGACTATGTAAAATGCCCGAATGCTGTGAGGTTTGTTACACAAAAGTAAAAAAAGGCCGGTTTTTTTAGCTGGAATTTGAATTAGCAATAAGAGGGGTAGCAAAACTGCATTTTTGATAGGTTGATTTCATAATACAACAGAAAAAAAAAATAACTCCTCACTTAAACAAACCTTCATTGATAGGACACCGACAGTCGACCGACACTTTGACGAATTTGAATATTCAATCCTTTCATAGGCGCAAAGCATAAAGCTACAGAAACCTTTTCACATAGTTTTCTTCGTAAACCATTCAACAAGATAATTTAATTATTTTTGTGGAGTCATTATTTGATTACAAAACATTACCGTAGTAACATCAGTTTTTGACATAGGAAAGCCTTCACTGAAAGCTATTGACAGATGATGAAGTGCTTATGGCAATGCTGTGATCATGGGACTTGTCAGAATCATGATCACATATAAAAAAAAGGAAAAGGTTGCAGCGCGGATGTTACTAGGTCAGGAAGCAGTTTGAATACTTTCTTTGGATGAATCTATGGTCACCAATAACATGTTATTTTAGCCGAGGTTTTGGTTCTTTTTTGTTTTATTTTGTTTTGTTTTGTTTTTTAATAAATTCATTCATTTTAAAAGCGCCAAGCATAAAGCCAAAGAAACCTTATTATATTGTCTGCTTAATAACGCTGAAGTAAGTTAAGTTGAATTTTTCGTTGAGTCATTATTTGATTGCAAAACATTACCGTGGTAACAATTAAAGTTGTTATGTACACGACAGATGGTTGCATTCATTTTGTCTCTCGATTCCCCTTTCGAAATAAATGGCCCCACTACTGACTCGAAGAAAATATCTGTTGTAGTCACTTTAAGTCTGTATCACAGCTTTTACTGATAGCTTATCGGGTGACAACACAGCCTCTTCGAGGTGTTCAGCTTGCAAAACGAAGTGCAAAGTAAGTTAACGGCGCGATAGTCACGGCGGAGCGAAAAAAGAGTGAGACTGGGTCGAGATGGGTAAAGAACGGCTTTCACCCGACCCGTTTTTCCACTCCGCCGCTACTATCCTCCTGTGTGCCATTTCGCTCCGTTTTACTAAATGAACGCCTGGAAAAGGCTAGTGATGAGAACACCAGCTAAATATGAGCTTTGCTTACATAGACATGCTTAACGTCCTGGGTCATTCTACATCATTTCATTATATTCTATTTTAAGATCGGTTTCAGCCTGGCATAGCTCATGACTTAGCAAGACAAAGTAAATAAAGAAACGTTTAAAAATTTTTCTGGATTATTTTAAAACGTAAATATACGATATCTAGAAATCGTGGTTGGAAATCAGTCGATCGATAAATATTTTTGAACTAGCAAACATCACCCACCAAATTTATTTGATTCTCGTTTTATCGATGATATATATTTTTATTTATGGAAACTTATTCCTTCAATTATAATTATTCACTTTTTTTTCAGAATTCTGAATGACATAAATAATTTTTTTGGCCATCAGATGAAATTCAGACTCGGGAATGATCCTTGCAGTGGTGAGCTGTCATACAAATCTTTTTCGTTAGGTGCAGCGGTAGGTACCTAAGAGCGGGTGTAAGCAGCTTTTGTACTCGATTGTCATTAAAATGAGAAAATGTTTTCTCATAAGACCAGTTGTGTGTACACGGCCTGTGATAGAGACATAACTCTTCTTGAATATTCGAATTTGTTAATAAAGGTGCCTTTCAAATTATTTGCTCTAATTAATCTTTGGCACACGACATTACCCTTTTATCAAATGGTATATCTTTTCCTCTCTACTAACAACCACAACTATTAAACAGCTTTGGAAGAAACAAAACATGGCAAATTTCATGTCTGATTGTCTCGCATCTTTGATCTTCCAACGCTAAAGAAACGAGTTTAAATGTGGAGTTAAAGAAAACTGCAACATTCGCTATGCCCCCGATTATGGAGAAATTTGATAATCGGTTTAAACTTTAAGATATTTTCTGTATCGCGCCATGTTCGGTGCATTTGTTTTGTTCGGCTGTTGTCAAACATGATCTTGTAAATTAGCCAAACCTCAATTTGTGAATAATAATTACATAAAGAGTTCATCAGTAGCATTTGACTATGGAAAATGCTCTGACAAGCTGCCTGATGTGTTTTACGACAAAGAAAAAAGGGGCCAGGTTTTTCTGCGAATTTTAATTAGCAGCAAACCGCAAGCAAATATACACTTGTGATAGAATTATTTCACAATATGACTACAAAAAACCCTGTTTACCCATATAAACTTTCATTGATAAGGTGGTTTATCGACTTTTGATATAATTTATGCAACCTTAGGACGCCGTGAATTATCTCAGTTAAAGGTAAAAGCCTTTATTGAAGACGCTAATTGGTATTGGGAAAAATAGAAAACTGGATCAAATAAAACTATTCAAAATTAATTTACTTCAAACATCATTAACATTACGAATTCTCCTTCACTTGGGACAATCCTTTTTTTTGCAAATCATCTTGGTCTCAAACAATAACTCCGTGTGAAATAGAGATAATAAACTTTTTTTATAAGCATTCCCTACAGTGTATTTAAGCAGATATTAACAAAGGCCGCATCTTTAATTTACAATGTTTCGTTGAAAACCCAATAACTAATTCCCAATCATGACAAAATCAAGCGGCTGGGTCCATTAACAGCGCGTTATCAAGAAACCATATTTCTGGCCTAAGATGAAATGTATCTCATGAAGATTTGATCGCTATGAAAAATCCTGAGCGCATTCTGATTCCAAAATAACTGATAGCCTTCACTACTTCATTACAAATGCGCAAATTGGCGAAGTTATTGTTTTGTTATGGTTACTAAACTACAATTTTTCGCCTGTTAGCTGTTCGTTCGATAATTCAAGTACAATATGCTATTTAGAGGTAGCTCCTCATATTTTTCCTAACTCTTCTGGTCATGAAATGGCATTTCTTCCCCTCACTCCTAACAATAACAATTTTTCCAAATAAGCTGTAGAAGAAACAGTACATGCCAACGTTAAGATAGGTCTACCCCTATGCATAGCAGATTGCTTGTCTGATTGTCTGCTTTACTGCTCGTCTCACTTCTCTTATCTTCCAGCAGTAAAGAAACGGGTTTAAAGTAGAGTTAAATAACACCAAGACAACTTCCATCCCATTGATTATGACGAAATGCCGAAATCGCTCTTTAGTAAGAGTAATTACACTTTCGACTATAAAAAATGGTACATAACAAACAATTAAAGCTAACTGCACCCACAGTGCGCTGTGCACTGCCTCCTTGTATCGCGCAATGTTCAGTGCATTTGCTTGGATCGGCTGTTGTTGAACGTGATTTTGCACTTGAGTCTGATGATGACTGAGAGCGCAAAAAATTTTAATGTACGAGGCGATGGAGATAACTAGGCAACATGATACACCTATAAGACTGTACTAAGCGGTTATACGGTCATCGAGATGACGGAATAATCCAGCGACTAGAGATACAACCCAAACGATAGCTAAAATAATATACGTGTGCCTCAAAGTAAAAATCTCTTTGTATCTCAGTCCCAACAACATAGCGAGAAGTCGGTCCACGCTTATGGCCGTCAGTGTCGACAATGACACTGAACATAATGCATAGCCTGTTACGCCACATCCGTCAAAAGAGTATCGACAAAGACTCCAGTGCTCGTGAACCACGGACATCCAATAGGTAGCGTACAGAGGCTGGGTAACAAGACCAACCAATAGATCAGTCGTTGCCAGACAACGATACAAGAGTTTGGATGGCGGATGGAG